TATATATATATATATATATATATACATACACACACACATATATATATATATAGTTCTCTCTCTCTATATATATATAAATGATTAAAATGTTGTTTATTATTTTGTTTAATTCGTGCATTGACTAAAGATATATGATTGTTATATGATTTTGTAGTTTTCCTTATTATATTAAGATTATATTTCAGAAATTATGATTATATATACATTTTAATTTATGAAATATAAACACATAATAATAATTATCAATGATTAAAACATTACATTGATATAATTTTGATAAAATAAATGGCACATTTGTGTACACAACATCACAGAGATAATCACAGATTAATTTCAAAATGAAAATGTTTTAAAAAAATGAATGCAGAAGAATCTATGAACCGTTCATCACGCTAAATCCCATAGTTTCCAAAACTGTTTATTTGCATGTTCAAATAAATTACTAATACATACTTTGTACATCAAGTGATTAGAGAGTCCTCTAACTGTCCTCTGCATCAATACAAAAAGGTGCTCAATTTATGTGCAAAAGTGATGCATATTATGCATATAAATATATGCATTAGGAAAAATGACAATCCAAAATAAAAGCATTCCTAAAAATGCATGAAACCATTTTAACACCGAGGAGGACGACTTTCACCAAACTTTTATCCTCAGCATTTACGCAGCATCGCGTCATTTACATTGATTTAAATAAAGACATGACTATTCATGCGGCATAAACAGTGGCTCAGTGAGTGAAGTCTATAGTGCAGTGTGCTATACAATGATCTTATAAGTTAGCGTTTAAGCCTATACAAAAGCTCATATTTACAAGACAATCAGTTCCAGAAGTGTAACTACAGAGAACATCACCTCAAGGCACAATTCAGCTCACATTTTCAGGACTGTTTCGTTCACTTGAAATAGCAAAATATAGAAGCAATGCTACGCGTGGCTTTTTCCATGTTTTAGTTGTTTCTGAATTGCAATATATTTGACAATAAAGCCGTTTCTTCCAGTAGACATGCGATTCCAGATGTAGACATGACTAGGACTGAGAATCAACAGCCGGTTTTTTTTTCCCCTCATGTGAGTGTACTGAAGTTACAAAGAAATACAAACAAACACACACTGACACACTCGTTCACTCCGGTGTTTGGCTTCTGCTGTGGTTAAGGCTGATATGCCCACAGTGTGACCGTCTTATCGGCTGAGGAGGACAGGAAGGACAGGTCTCTGGTGTGCCACCGGCACTGGATCACTTTCTCGGCGTGTTCAGCGACCACACTGACCGGCAGCGTTTTGGTGAGATCCCCTGCAGAAAAACAGGGCAATTTAACGTGCATAAAGTGACAGTGGGAATTATAATAATATTCATTATTATTATCATTATAACTGTACTTTTCCCACTGTACAACCAATACAAACAACATTCCCACTGTACTTTTCAAAACCAATAAAAACTAAAATTTATCATTGTTAATAATATTAATAATAATAATAATAATAATAATAATAAACCAATTTATTGAAAAAAAACGTATGAAATGACATTCACAAGCCATAATCTTCAATGTGGCAAAAGAACAGTGGTATTTAATTATATTATTATTATTAACCGATCCATTGAAAAAATAACTCATATGAAATGGCATTCACAAGCCCTATTACTTTGTAATGTGACATTTACTGTCATTTTGAGTGAAAATCTAATTGTACAAGAACTGATTAGATCATGAAAGATGGACTTTCTATGACAGGTGGTTGAGAGAGGGCTGAAAGAGAAGAAATAATGATGACATCGTTATTCCTGTGACATAATTTGTGGCGCGACCTACCTTGAAGGTCAGTGATCATGACTTTGTTGTCGTAGGAGCCGGTGAGCAGATAGTGAGCTCCAGGAGAGAAGCGCACTGAACGCACGTCGCTGGTGTGCGGCCGATACGCCTGGACGCTTCGACCTCCTCTGATGTCATAAAGCATGCAGCGACAGTCCTCCAATCCGGTGGCCATGAGCCGCCCACTGGGATCCACCGCCACCGAGGCCACAGCACTTCCTGTCACATGACACAAGAATATAAATGATCCAAACCTCTGTGCAAAGTGTTGTTATAAAGTTAGTGTTGTTGTTATACGTGTTTATTTATTTACTTTTTTGCTGTTGCTTGTTGTCACTGAATTGTTTAATAATTATAATAGTTATTAATTATCCTAGAAATATTTTTACATTATTATTTTAGTTGTATTATTATTATGTTATTGTGTTGATTCTTTTTGCATTGGTTGTTGTCAATTAATTTATTTGTATTTAATAGTACTAATACTAATAACAAAATATTTTATTATTATTACTATTGTTGTTATTATTTAATAATTTTATATATATTATTATACTTTTAATATTATATTTAATAATACTAATGCTAATAATTGATATTATTATTATTAACATATCATCTTTTTATTTTTAATTATTATTATTTATTTTTTTGCATTGGTTGTCACTGAATTGGTTTTAAATATTAATATTCTGTAATACTAAAATTAATACTATTGTACTGATTATTATTGTTTTTGTTATTTGTTTTTTACATTGGTCATTGTCATTTGACTTCACTAATGGCGCCGACGCTGATGGCTGCCTCCGTGGCGTGCTCCGCAGTTGTTTTTATGTTTTTGTTAGTTTGTCCTGTCTTTAGTTATATCCCTGCAATCAGTTTCACCAGAGACGAATTGCTGGACATTCGGAAGTACACACCACCTGATATTTCACCGGTTTTCGATTATTCTGATGTTTTGCTGGACATTGTAGTCAGGGGAGCTGTGGCGCTGATCAAGCGCTTCAGGACGCGCAGACAGGGGAAGCGAGCCGGCGCGCTCGTGAAGCTAAGGCAGCGCGGATTCAGAACGCCGTTGCCTAGCATCCATCTGGCGAACCTCCACTCTCTACCCAACAAAACGGACGAGCTCCTTCTGCTCTCCCGGACAAATAAGGATTTTTCAAACTCTGCTGCTCTGTGTTTCACGGAAACCTGGCTGAAAGACGCCATTCCGGACAGCGCGTTGAGTCTCCCGGGCTTTCAGCTGTTCAGAGCGGATCGCGAAGCAGAATCAACGGGGAAATCACGTGGCGGCGGGACATGCTTTTACATCAATGAGACGTGGTGTACAGATGTAACTGTGTTAAAGAAGATGTGCTGTTCAGATCTAGAAGTGCTCTTCATTAACTGTAAGCCATTCTATTCGCCGCGGGAGTTTTGCTCATTCATTCTCGTCGGGGCTTTGTAGAAAACGAAGCGTTTGAGAGAGGCGGGGCATAGAGGACCTACAATAATGTACAGTATTTGAAAAATAATGTGCTTTTTGAACATTAAAGCATGTCAACATATTCTGTTACACCAAATACACCAAATAATGATCTTTAAAAAAGCATCATATGACCCCTTTAATTGGTTTTGAATTTTAATATTGTGTTTAATAAAACTAAATACTTATTTGTTATTTATTTTTTATCAGATAATAATTCTTATTATTAAACAATTTTAAATTTCAATGAATTGGTCATAGTAATTTACAAAATTGTCTGAATAATTCATTCACAAATCACTCTAAATTTGGTTTGAACAATTTCTAGAAATCTTTATCCCATTAATCACAAACAGCTGGGAAGGTCATGAAAAAAAAATATTGTGTAAATTGGTCAAATGTGGGAATCCTGATGTCTTAAATAAAGAAGAAAAACACACCTGTTCCATGCAGGGCCGTCCCAACCACCTTCACACAGCTGGGCACACGCAGGTCCCAAAACCTCACCGTCTTATCCTGAGAGCCGGAGGCGATCATCCACCCGCCCCACGTGTACAGAGACAGGATGTGTCCTGCGACAGCATGGCAGATCATACAACACAACATGACATCCTGTTCATACGTGAAGAGGATGGTTTGTGTGTGTGTGTGTGTGTGGTATCACCTGTGTGTCCGCTGAGCGCGTGCAGCCCCTGTCCTCTCTGGCAGTCAGTGGTGTAGATGTTACAGTCTCCAGCCCCAGCGCTGATCAGGATCGCCCCTCCGCTTTCGGGACCCTCCATAAACGCCAGGTCTCTGATGGTGCCGTCATGCATGCTGAACTCTAGATCTGGACCTGCAGTCCAAACACACGCACGCACGCACACACGCACACACACAGTACCCTGTTAACCACTGCTTCTTTAACAACCGTATTATCATTTATACAGTATATTTCATTAACTGCAATAGTTATCTATGTAAGATATAAAGTCACACTTTAAATAAAATGTATAAATTATATTAATTGAATATATAATGTATTTATTTTAATACATTAATTATATTAATTCAATGTATTTAAATGATATTTAATATAATTTATATATTTTTATTTTTGTATATTACTTACGTTGGTTGTCACTAAATTCTTTCTTCTCACATAAAATACCATTCAAATGTTTGGGGTCATATTGTTTTTTATTTATTTATGAAATAAATACTTTTATTTAGCAAAGACACAAAATTCATTAAAAGTGACAGTAAAGACATGTATATGTTACAAAAGTTTTATATTTCAATTGAACGTTTTTCAACCTTCCATTGATCCTGAAAACCAATGTATAATTTAGTAAAATCAAAATGTCTAATATTTATTATTGGATAATAATAAGCAATGTTTCTTGAGCAGCAAATCAGCATATTAGAATGATTTCTGAAGGATCATGTGACACTGACGAAAATTCAGCTTTCCATCACTGGAATAAATTACATTTTAATTTTTATTCACATAGAAAACTGTTATTTTAAATTGTAATAATATTTTATAAAATTACTGTTATACTGTATTTTTGATCAGATAAATGCAGCCTTGATGAGCTTGAGATACCTATAAAAATCATATCTCAACTCAAATCTTGGTATTGTATACCAACATGGTATTGTATAGTTATATACAGTTATTGCTATGGAAAAATAGATAATGAAATAATATTTTATATTTCATGTCCATTTATTGTCCATTATTTGGCAGTTAGCATTCATATAAATAATAATGTACAGTTATTATCAGAAAATAAAGCCCTTACTTATCTTCATAGGTTACAATTACTTTCAATGCACTTTATGATTCTGTTAGAAAATATTCTATATTTACACTACACAAAACGTATTTGACAGACATTATTTGAAAGGCACATTACCTGTGGCGTTGCAGGTGTCCGCATTGAACGGAAGAACTTTGACATACTTGTCATTGGAGCCCGTGGCGAGAAGCTGCCCACAGGGACTCCAGGCCACACAGTAAATAGAGCCTTTATGGTGTTTAATACGCTTAAAGCAGATCTCAGGCTGTTTTACTGGACCCTGAGCGCTAGACAGGAAAAACAGAGGACGTTAGAAGATATTTTGAAGAATGCTCTTGTATGAAAGCCCGTTTCCACCATTGAATAAGAAAATAAATAAATAAGGTAATTGCAACTTTTTATCTTGCAATTCTGACTTTTTTCTCAGAATTGTTGGATATAAACTCGCAATTGACCTATCATTAAGCCCCGCCCCCCTTAGTTACTGTTGCTCACTCGGACAAACAAACTCGGAGTTGCTCACTGTCTTACAATGACAGCGGTCAGTGAAAACCTTCTTCTGAGGTGTTTCTGATAAATTTGGGACACAGATGGACCTTCAAGTCAGACTTAAATATGCCATGGAGGGATACATAAAAGATATTAAAATAATATGTAAAAATACAGATCACAATGCAAACGGGAGAATTATGTTACGGTCGTCACGATCGCAATGACAACATCCCGGATCAACACCATTCATATACTGCAGAGTAAGATTAAATTAATTTATATTTAACCAGATTAATATGGAGAGGCACTCTAATGTAGACCTTCGTTTATGTGTTTTTGACTTTCACTGTATGGTACATGACATGAGAACAGTTCGCTATTTAGGTTTGTACGTTAGCATGGACTAACTAACTTTAACGCTAACGTTAGCTAGTTTTAGCCAGAGATACCCTTGCTGAAGCACAAGATGACTTTAACGTTCTGCTTGAGCAGATGAAAAGTGTAACTTAATGAGAGTATGACAACCAGAAAATGAACGTTTTCGTCTTCATTGTGATTGGGGTTGAATGCTTGGGGACATTTTGTAATAATAAAATAAATAAATTATATTGCCCATCCTCTCAGGATACCTGGAATAAGTGTTACAAGTACCACAGGCACATCGTTTTTCCATTTTTGTAGCACAAACACCAGCAAACCGATGCGAGCTTCGGATCTTCCAATGTTTCTCTATGGCGCTGAGCCTGAAACCTAAAGAAGTCCGAGTTCCACTCCCCGTGCAACTGATACTCGACTGCCATTGGCTCATCTGCGTTCGAGGGGAGGGGCTTACCGATAGGTCAATTGCGAGTAATAAAGTCAGAATTGCGAGTAATAAAGTCAGAATTGCGAGATATAAACGGGCAATTCTGACTCTTTTCTTGCAATTGTGAGTTTATACTTCGCAATTCAGACTTTTTTTCTCGTTATAAAGTCCATTTCTGAGGGTGGAAAAAAGACTGATACTTTATAAATTGTGAATTGCGAGGAAAAAAGTCAGAACTGTGAGATTATTGCCTTTTTTATTTTTTATTAGTGCTGTCAAACGATTAATCACGATTAATCGCATCCGAAATAAAAGTTTTTGTTTACATAACATACGTGTGTGTACTGTGTATATTTATTATGTTTTTATTCAGTGGCAGAAATGGGTTTCCATAGTTTTGGGTCCCATTGACTGCCACAGTATTTTCTGTCCATACTATGGAAGTCCAATAGAACCCGAAAAGGTTTGGTTACCAACATTCTTAAAAATATATTTTTTCATGTTCCACAGAAGAAAGAAACTCATACAGGTTTGGAACAACATGAGGGGGAGTAAATGATGACAGAAATGTCATTTTTGGGTGAACTAACCCTTTAAATACTGAGATGAACACACCTGGTTTTGAGGGATTGTGGGTAAGTGCAGACACGCAGTGTTTTGGAGTTGGAACCGATTGCGTAGAGGGTCCCGGACGGGTGGAAGGCGACCGCGCGCACAGCCTGTGTGTCCTCCAGCGTCTGCACTGCAACAAATGGGGATTTGGGTTTCTCGTCCTGAAACACACTGTCATGATACATCTGCATTAGAAGCAGCTCACAAAATCAGAGTTATTTCATTTTTTTAGGGTTGAAGGTTGTGAGAAACCTCTGGTTGACCAGCACTGGGGACTCGTCCAGAGATGGGACGCCTCGGCCTCCTCCCTTCTGAGGGGTGCTGCTGATCACTGCGGTCTTGTTCTGGCCTGAGCCGGTCTCTGGGGTCTGTTTACTGGCTCCGCTCGCTGCCGTACCGTTACACTGCTGGGCCAAAGCCTGGACGTCTTCACCCAGGTCCTCCATTCCCACGTTCAGCTCCTCCAGTTTCTGAATGGACCTACACGAATGATCAAGAAAACTATGGCTGATGGTGATATCTAGAGATCAAGGTACTTAATGCAAAGCAGTTTTTAAAATTTACTTACATCATATTGACTCTAAAATTCACAATTTAAAAAAAAATAATTCAAAATAATAGTTATTAATAAACGGAGCAATTCCAAAATGGTCCTCGCACCATCAGTGCTCGGGCCCTAATAATTATCACCCAGGTCCTCCATTCCCACGTTCAGCTCCTCCAGTTTCTGAATGGACCTACACGAATGATCAAGAAAACTATGGCTGATGGTGATATCTAGAGATCAAGGTACTTAATGCAAAGCAGTTTTTAAAATTGACTTACATCATATTGACTCTAAAATTCACAATTTTAAAAAAAATAATTCAAAATAATAGTTATTAATAAATGGAGCAATTCCAAAATGGTCCTCGCACCATCAGTGCTCGGGCCCTAATAATTATAATAATAATTACATTCCTAATAATTGCATTTACAAATATACATACAAAAATAAAAATACATATTGTATTATAAATTATTTAAAAATACAAAATAAATATATACAAATATGTAAAATATACTATTAAATTGTATTTAATTAATAATTATTAAAATTAATAAATGGCATAATACACATACTACAGTTTAATGATGGCAAAAAGAAGTTTACAAAATTGCTGAAAAGCAATGTACAACTAAATTGTACTATATGATATTGTAAATAAACTGCTGATAATCTCAAAAACCAAATATTATGAGATGAATATGTCTATCACTAGCAAAAATCAAGTATTAATATATAATATAATAAAAAAATGAATAATGGCAAAATATATATAATATACTTTTACAATATACAGCAAATAAGTTATGTACATAAAAACATGTAAATTACTGATTTCATTTCACATTTCACAATGGCATTATATTTTCATATTAAAATGTTTATCACTAGTAAAAATAATGATATTACACTGATAATTTTATATGACATACAGTTTGTACAGTTATATGTATATAAAATTATATTTTAATGACATTAAAATAGCATAATTTACATAATTCATCATTTCTATAAATGATATCACATAAATTAGATTTTTATGATTTAATGAGAGCCAATAAGAAGTTTAAAATATTGCTGGAAATCAATGAACAAAAAAAGATGTAAATATAATATAATAATTTGCAGATAGTCTCAAAACTGCCAAATATTTCCAGATTAATCTCTATCCCTATATATAAAATAATACTTAGAATAAGTATTAATAAGTCTAGAACAGAATAGAATAGAGCACATGCTATTTCTCTTATCCCTGTCTGAAATTAATGGCACATCAATAACAAGTGAAACAAATGAGTTAGTTAATGGTAAGCAAGTTCCAGCCCAAGAGGCATTTACAGCACTTCCAATCTCATCATCTTGACATCAGAAACCACATAATCAATAAACAACACTGCACTTCCTCTGGGGCACTTCAGAGGTCTGGATCTGACCTGTTGAGGAACTTCTGTGTGAGATTGTGCTGCGCTGCGTCTGTGGGCTGATCTGGGGGATGAACTCCACCCTCCAGCAGCATCTGATGGTACAGCTGCCTCTGCTGCTGCTTCTGCTCGAGATGCTGCTGCACCCGCAGCCGCTGCCGCTGGAACTCCTGAAGCTGCTCCTGCACACACACAACAAAAGTCAGCAGCAATGACAAGACTGTCATCATTTGCACATGTAACCTAAATGTAGCTGGTTTTAATTACCTCCGATTTTTCAGCTGAACCCATGGCTCCACCATCTCTGCCTGGAGTCAGTGGAGGACGCAGTGAGTTCGCTCCTCCTGAGCCGTTTATCCTCTCGTCCGGTGCTCTGGAGGAACACCAGTCAACACAAATGAGCGGGATAACATCTTAATATCTGTGGATGCACGGATAGTAAAATTCAAGTTTATGCGACAAGCTGATAGTTGGCTGATAAATGGCTAGAATTAAATTTTTTTTAAATACATTGAAAATAAAACACTAAAAACTATGAAAATGAAAACAGATAGTTATTATGAGATTGATTTAGGATTAAATGATGAACCTTAAATGAGCGTTAGATGACGGCAAAAGTCATCTAAATGTAAAAATAGAGGAAATAAGCAAGAACAATATACAATATACATTACCATTTAAAAGCCTGGTTCCGGTAAGATTTTTTAATATTTTTGTAAGAAGTCTTTTATGCTTACCAAGACTGATTTATTTGATTAGAAATACAGTTAAAACAGTAATATTGTGAAATACTAATACAATTTAAAATAACTGCTTTCTATGTTAATACATTTTAAAATGTAATTTATTCGTGTTATGAAAAGCTACCTTTTCAGTACCATTACAGTGTCACATGATCCTTCAGAAATGTTTTAATACACTGATTTGAAGCTTAAGAAACATTTGTTATTGTTATTATCAATGTTGAAAACAGTTGTGCTGCTTTATATTTTTCTGGAAACCCAAGACATTTACTTCAGAATTCTTTAATGAATAGAAAGTTCAAAATAACGTTTAACTAGAAATCTTTTTTGCAACATTATAAATGTCTTTACTGTCACTTTCTATCAAATTAATGCATCCATGCTGAATAGAGGTAATAATTTATTATTTCATTAAAAAAAATCGTACTGACTCCACACTTTTAAACAGTAGCATAGCATAATGACAAAATCAAGAATATTATCTCTACCTTTTGATAAAAACTGCACATTAATATTATGGTTTCTATTGCCACTTTTTATTTAGCATTCAACAAAAGTTCTCTAAAATATATTGACTGTCATTGAAGTTTGTTTGGACTTAACTAGTAAAGCTGCCAGGGTTTATTTTCAGTGGATCTAACAGGATTAGAAGTGTCAAGCTTGACCACCATATGTCGCATTTCACCGCTCACAGTAACACCTTCTAACACAGAAACCAGCTCTGAGAAGCTAGATTTTACTATGGTATTTTATACTTTACAATGAATCGTGCAGTTTTGTTTATGACTGATGTTTACCCTTGGTTTTATTGATGATTAATATAGTTAAACCATGGTAACCACAAATTAACCATGGTTTGGCTACACGAACCATAGTTTAACCATGGTATTTGTAGTAAAACTGTGGTTATACAAATGGTAATCAATGCGCCCCCAAAAAAATACACTTTTAATATAATAAAACCATGGTTAATTTTCACAAGGGATGGAACGCAAACTCATGGAACACAAAAGAAGATATTTTAAAGAACATTTTTCAACTGTTTTGATCTATACAATGGAAGTCAATGGAGTCCAAAACAACAGCATTGAACCCCACTGACTTCTACAGTATTGACAAAAACACTGAGAAAGATTTTCGAAATATCTTCTTTCGTCATACCAGTCATACCAGTTTGAATCGACATCAAAATGATTAAAGGGGTCATATGATGCGATTTCAATTTTTCCTTTCTCTTTGAAGTGTTACAAGCTCTTGGTGCATAATGAAGATCTGTAAAGTTGCAAAGACTAAAGTCTCACATCCAAAGAGATATTCTTTATAAAAGTTAAGAGTCAACCACGCCTACCTAAAACGGCTCGTTCTAACACACCCCACATGTCTACGTCACGATGTGAGAAGATTTGTAATGTACAGTATGTGGAAAATAATGTGTTTTTTTTACTTTAAACCGCATAAACACATTTCATTACACCAAATACACAAAATAATGTTCTTTTTAGCAGCATCATATGACCCCTTTAAATGTTAACCAAACAGTCATTTTTGGGTGAACTATCCCACCTGTCAGGCGAATCACTGAGGATGTTGCTCTCCATTGCGTTTTTGCTTCCATTTCCTCCTGAAGGATACCCAAAGTTGGCGAACGACTGCGACATGGCCGTTGCTTTCCCGTCACCCTCCGTGCTTTTCTTTTCCCTTCCCACCAAGCCGTGGGACAGACCGTCCAGGGCGGGATTGAGAGAGCGGGACATGTAAGTATCCGCCGAGTGGGGCCGCCGCAGAGGCGATGCTGGGCAGGGCGAGAGTTTGGTGAGCAGAGGTGTGAGAAGATCTGCGTGACCCGTCCGGACCGGTTTGACGAGCCGGTCCACTTGGATGCTGAGGGTCTTCTGCTCAAATGCGCAAGCGAAGACCGACGGCAAGAGGTTTTGCAGCCAAGACAACAAACTCAAGTCCAGTTCCTCGCAACCGTTCCCGCACAGGACGTCGACGGCGAGGAGAACCTCCTCCTCATTGATTTCCTCTCCAGTGGCTTTGCTCTGGCAGAACTCAACGCAGCATTCGTACAGGATTCCCTTGATGAGGAGCTGGAACAGACGGTCGCCGCTGGCTTTGAATCCGGCTTCGCTCAGTTTGCGGTTGGCAGGGATGAATTCGGCCACCATGGAGCAGGCCTCCTCGAAGCAGTGCACGCGGGCCGTGCTGGGGTTCCAGTCCTTGAATTCGGCGTGGTGGGTGAGGCGCGGGAGCGTGAGGAGCAGGCAGAGTTTGCTGTAGTCTTCTTTGGTTGGGCAGAACTCTTCCAGGGAATGAAGGGACTTCACCGCGTCTTGCATGGTCAGCTCCAGCTGCAGGTGGGAAAGAGAGCGGTCATTATGAATGAAACCTTTCTGACACATTTTGAGTCAAGATTCATGAGGTTTTAATGTGAGATTGCCCAAAATATCTATCTATATATCTATCTATCTGTCTGTCTGTCTATATATCTATCAGTATTAAATGATACATTTTCATAGATTTTATCTCATAGATTCATTTTCAAGATTTATTCTGAGAACTAAAGGCCATTTTATGGTACAAATAATATTATACAATTAAACTTCCATTTTGCATAAGACAAGAATTATTTATGTACTTTATTTATGTATCAGTTACTTATTTATCATGGTACACATAACAAAAATAATCATAACTTACAATTACACTTCTTCCATTTTGCATAAACAACAAGCAATATTTATTTGCTTGTTTGTATACAATTTTTATTTATTAAAACTATTTATTTACAAGTATTAAAGGCTATTTTTAAAATAATATTAATAATAAACAAACTTCTTCCATTTTGCACAAAAGATAAACAATGTATGTATGCATGTATTTATTTATTTATTTATTATTATTAAAGAATATGCTACAAGTAATAATAATAATACTAATAATAATACAAACTTTTGTTGATCATTTTGCATAAAAATTTATTTACAAGTATTAAAGGCTATTTTTTAAATAATATTAATAATAAACAAACTTCTTCCATTTTGCACAAAAGATAAACAATGTATGTATGTATGCATGTATTTATTTATTTATTTATTATTATTAAAGAATATGCTACAAGTAATAATAATAATACTAATAATAATACAAACTTTTGTTGATCATTTTGCATAAAAGACTAGCATAATTTATAAATTATGTATTTATTTATAAACTATCTATCTATCAGTATAAAATTTTCGTATTAAAGGCTATTTTAAAATAATAATAATAATAATAAAACTTCTTCCATTTTGCACAAAAGATAAACATTATTTATTCATTTATTAATGTTAAAGAATATGGTACAAGTAATAATAATAATAATAATAATCTATCTATCTATCTATTAGTATAAAATTTCCGTTTATGCAAATTATTACTATTATCATCATCACAACTAATAAACAAACAAACAAAAAATATTCATCTTTTATGCAAAAAGGAATGTTTAATTGCAAATAATAATAATCATAATAATATACAATTAAACTTTCCATTTAGCATGAAAGACAATATTTATTTATTTATTTAAAATTAATTTAAATATCAGTTTCTATGATGATGATAATGACAGTAATAATATTTTCAATTAATTAAATAAAATAAATTAAATAATTAAAGGCTATTTTCTAGGTAACAACATTACTACTAATATTAATACCATATACAATTAAACTTATTCCATTTGACATAAAAGACAAGTAAAGTGGGTCTTTTTTTAGAATAACATGATGCCATTTTGCACACTCATAAAAACACTCACATTCTCAGGGTCATCTGCCGCAGATATGGCGTTGTTTACACACAGAGCTTCCAGAAACTTCTGTTTTAGGATGATATATCGAAATCTAAAAGATTAAAAATGCCCAAAAGACTGTGAAACAAGCAACACAAGCCTGAATGCTGGCAACAGATTCATAACTGTGCTTACTTCTTTCTGTCAAATTTATCTAGGCACTCCAACGGCTGGATGAACTGCAAAACTTCCTCCCATTGCCCGTCTAATATAAGTTGCCTTAGAAAAAAAAAAAAGGACAAAAATGAGTTCATCTTCTAAATAATATTGAACAAGATTCTTTCATACGTTAAAATGATGTTACAGAATGAAATGCAAGTGTACTCAATACTTCAGCACCTGAAATAGATGCGTTTTTTCCATTTCCACACTTCATTAAGCAGCACTACCATTTATTAAAGGGGTAATAGGATGCCCATTTTCCACAAGTTGATATGATTCTTTAGGGTCTTAATGAAAAATCTGTAACATAGTTTGGTTAAAATTTCTCAATGGTAGTGTAAAAAACACCTTTTTTACCCTGTCAAAAACAGCTCTTTTCAGAGCACGCAGTTTTGTAGCATTTTCCTTTAAATGTTAATGAGCTCTGCTGACCCCGCCCCTCTCTTCCTGCTCTCTGAGGGACTGTTTACTTTAGCCGCATTCATCGTGAAACTTGCTAATTAGCACATTATTAGGAAAGGCGATTTGCAAAGATTCATTTACAAAACCTTACACTCACTTCTTCTGTTGGTGAAACTGGATCACAAATGATTCGCGCGAACATAGACGCATTTATGTAGATCGGTCACACAGACAGGCATCTGAGATCGGCTCGATTTGAGAAAGGGGTAAAGATTTGAGCAGATAAAAAAAACAAAACTGGGTGGATTTTTATCATTTTAGGGTGGTTGTGTACACACACTGCCAACACACGTTTTAGTTCAAACAACTTGTAAAAGTGCATGTAGCATCATATGACCCCTTTAAGGATGACAGTTTTTCAAAATATACTACAGTAAATGGCTACTACAATGGCCACTGCAAGTAATCAATTAAATGCTGCTTTGCTTAACATCAATTTCTTTCAAAAACCTATTCCTAATAATGAATGATTCCAATCTTTTGAACAGTAGAGTATTAGAATAGTGTATTCATTAGTTGTTTAGGTTTCAAAGACACAGCTTACTACTGACCTCAGGAAGAGCATATCATCTGAATAAAGCCCATTAATGACGCCGCTCTCTTTTTCCAGGGCCAGCATACTGATGTGGAGCTTTCTGGAGTTCAGAAAGTCCAGGATCAGCTTGATTATCTCTGCTTCTTTGATGTTTATAATCTCCTCTGCAGTCATGGTGTCAGATTCCTGAAGGGACAGAGGGACAAGGTTATCTGTACGCGATGACAGCAAGAGCTCTGTGTGTGTGTGTGTGTGTGTGTGTGGTTTTGCCTACACTGTGAAAACCAAATATTCCCACAAGGATAGTGCTCTATGTTGAGGGACCAGACTAACTTAAATGTCTAAATTAAAATCTAAAACCAGTAAATAAATATAATTCTGTGGGAGCAAGGCTTAAGGGAAAGAAAATAACATTAACTAAGAATATACAGTAAAAAACAAAAATCATATATATATATATATATATATATATACATATATATATACAATTTCATTAATATTGAATTATATATAATATATATATATATATATATAGAGAGAGAGAGAGATGCATATTAAATTACATAAAATGCATTAAAACTTTATGAATAAACAGATAAATAAAGTGATAAAATATAATGTCTAAATAAATACATAAAACAAACAAACAAATACATAAATATTCTGTGGGATTTAAGAAAAATATCATTTCAGTATATCAAAAAATAAATAATAAATTCATAAATGTAATGAATACGTTTAAATAAATGAATCAATTAATAGGTGAGGGTTAGGATTAAGGGATAGAAAATATAATTAGCTCAAAATATTACACTGAAGAACTGTAAATTTAATAAATACATTTATTTAAACATTATACATAATTAATTTGAAGTTTAAACTTCAGGGATAGATTAACTCAGTATATTAAGCAAAAGAAGTAATATATAAATAAATGCAATAAATACATTTAGTGCTCTGTTAGGAGTTATGGACAGCTTGTAGTAATTATCCTTAACTCCATTCTAAAAATTAATTATAATAATTAGGTAAGCAGTTAGTAAATTAGGTTAGTAAATCATTACTTGTTTAGCTAACAATAATAATAATACTAATACAAAACTTTAGCATCAAATATTGTGAAGCACCATCAATTCATGTCACTGATCTCAAGCCCATTTCAAATGTCTAGCATCATTTGAATAAATCACGTGACTCAGAGTAAATGGAAACCTTTTAAAGACTTGATTTATTATGCATACAAACAGTTGCAGGTAAGTACTGCGACAACTTGACCCATGCAGTCCTGTCAGCAAAGAGAAGCATGCATTTCAGTGTGTTTGCACTAGTGCAATGGAGACAGCAGCATTGGCAATTTTCTGGCTGCTGATCTGACCAATTTATTTTCTGACCCATTTCACTGCGTGCGACCTCAAATCTGTCATTTTCGCTGACATGCACATGTATAAACAAGCATGCATGTCCTGTCTGGCCCCAAATGCAACGCAGTGGAGCTTTAACTCTCTGCATGCTTGGAAGACAACGTTAAAAAAAATCCGTGCAGCATTTCCAAAACCTTACCTAAAATCAAGCTTTGGCCAGAGCCGAGTTGTTTATTCAGTCTTCTCCTGCGCGGATTAGCGCGAGCTCAGCGTTCAGCCGCCCGAGCGTGAGGTGCGTTTATCCCGACAATGGCTCGGATGTCCACACCCACCTTCCGCCTGTCTCCCTCTCTCCATCAGCGGCAACAGCAGCGCCGGTTACCGGCGGAGAGACGCGCTGCTCCGGACACACCCACTCAGCGCACCGCTGCATTGCTGGTCATCATTAGACTAAGGTTCTCTTAGAAAATATGAGTTTGGGGAATCTAAATTATGATATTGTGTGGGTTCAAATAATTTTGGTAGGAATAAAATGAACAAAACACAAAAATGGACAAAGATTTATTTTTCCTCATTTGAAAATATTTAACATTCCTTAAAATTATGACACGTAGGAAACAATATTATTTAATCGTAGTGTGAATTTTATTTTATTTTGCTAGAAAGCAGAAAATCCTGCTGTTGTGCTGTATGACCACTTGATGGCACAATACAATCACAAGACTGATCCAAAAGCATGTTTTTGATTTCACCAGGAACTCATCGATGAGAACATTGCTGACCTAATCGGCGAATGGTTGAGCTGAAAGAGAAGCTCATTTGAGATGACTTTAAATAGCACACGTACGTCTTCAAGATGTTTGTTAAAGAGCGTTTCATCTGGAAAACATCTGCCGTGTATGAACATCTGAATAAAGTCTTTATAAAATCAGTTTTAAATCATAAACATCTTAACAACATTTTCTAAATGTCTATGTAACATCTGACAGGAAACGTCTTGAAGGCGTAGGCTATATTGCAGATGAGCAAACACTCTAAAAAATAGGTCTTCCAAATATAAACGTACATCGAATAGATGTCTCTGTAAACTACTATAAAACTGTGAGAATTACATATGTTAGCTATATAAACTATTTTCTAACATAAAATTAACCTAGGAACAAATGTCCCTGTTGAAAAAACCAGCATATGCTGGTTTTTTCAACAGGGGTAGCTAAACAAAATCCATCAGAGGACTTGATTTTTTGGGCTCAGCTCAACCATTCAAAACTGCTATGAAGATTATTGTAAGTAAAAACGATTAAAACCATTTCTTTACTTTTATAGGAAATATACATTTAGCAATAAAGTACAAACCAACATTCGGTCTCAGACTTGCTAGCCTCAACCGTATGATTTAAACTAAAATGCAACCTTTTTTCTCTTCTTCTTCTTTTCTTCTTCTTCTTTACATTTTATACATTCTTTTTCTTTTCTAATTTGATGTTTATTTAATGTTTAATGCTAAAAGTAGTGAAGTTACACAAATCCGGGTTATGTTTAAACATTCTCAAATTTGGATAAAGGCAAGAAAATAAATAGAAAACAAAAACAGCTCATGAAATATTTGGATTCATGAGGTTGACCATATGTTAATGGTCAAACTCATGAGGTCAACTATTTCTGAAGGCAAAGCACCTCCTTCAGTGAGCATTTTTGAATTGTTTTAATATTTTTAAGGCCTATTTTATACCTCATATGTCAAATATCTCACAAAGTATTGACTTAGTATCCAAATTACAGTTCAGCAATTGATTCTATCTTTGTGAGTCTTCATGCTGTTCAGTTTTTGTTAAATCTAGGTCACAAAGGAAGTGTGTGAACTCATATATTTTGGGGCACCCAAGTGTCCATAAGTTTCTATGAGTGAGCGTGACCCTGTTTGGCAAAGGACTTCATTGTTTTTTCACGCATTAAATGCACCTGCAACTGGGACAGGGTTGTTCTCTGCAGGACTGTGTCCCACTTTCTGCTAGTGGTGTAATGTTTATTTGAAAATTGTCCTACCTCTGCATTTTATATAGCTGCTTATGACCATCAACCTAACGATCTTTTACACCAGGGGCCAGTTGCATTAACTGTTTAGACTAGTCTTAAAAAGTTAGTCATCTAATTTTTTTTTTCTTCAAGACTGGTCATAACTTTTTTAATTCAGTTATGAAAAGGTAGATTGGTCTTATTTGTATTGGAAAAGTAAGACTGATTACCTCTTGGCAGCTGCTAGTTGGTCAAACTAGTTCTTAAGACACAGTTTTAACATGGTGGCTAAGTTTATGCAACTGGCCCCAGAACATACTAAATGGTTTGGGGACGGTAAAATTAAAAAAATGGTTTTGAAATAATTCTCTCATGCTTGCCAAGGAGTTTACTTGATCAAAATACAATAAAAACAGTAATATTGTTAAATATTAATACAATTTAAAATATCTGTTTTGTATTTTCATGTATTTTAAAATGTAAATCATTCTAGTGATGTCAAAGCTGAACTTTTAGCATCAATATGCCAGTCCTCAGTGTCACATGATTCTTCAGAAATCATTATAATTTGCTGAGTTGCTCAAGAAACATCCCTTATTATTATCAACGTCAAAATGTAAGTCTTTACACAGTCAATTTAAAGAGTTCTCCTTCATTTCCTTCCTTCCTTCAAAAAAACAACAAAATCAACCATAACCAAAATCAATCATAAATTACAGCCAATCAGAAGAGCGTGTGGGAGGGCTCTATTGCTCTCTCAGCAAGAAGAACATTATCGCACTCAAATCGAATTCAGTAAGTACATAAGTTTAAACAATTTTATCGTTGTTCAAAATACATATTCAGCTGTCTTTCATGGAATGCACTTGTTTGTTCACATAGAGTTCACAGTTTGAAAGTTCTTGTTTCCTTTAAGTTATATTCAAGATCTGAGGTAAAGTTAAGCTACTGTCGTGTTTTGACGGCTTATCAGAAAGTCGCATTTTGTGTGGAGTATTTCATTTTTTACAGGAATAAAAGGAGGCTGTGATGGATAGAAGTACAGTGCGTTCAATGGATTATACTGTTGTTCAACAACATCATTGTTCAAAAACGTTAAGTGTTTAAAGGTGGGGTAAGCGATTTTTCAAAAACGCTTTAGAAAACTGATTCGGGCAGAATAGCAAAACAAACTTGTAGCCAATCAGCAGTAAGGGGCGTGTCTACTCATGATGTGGAGGAGAGAGCGTTCAGTGCACAGGACGGACATTAGCTGAGCCGAGCGACAGAAAGAGAGAGATGGCGGATAAAAAAAACAAGAGGAAAATGTCTGCGGAACAGAAGGCTTAAGGCAAGAAGTAGGACCCGTGTAAATATCGGATCTGCGCCGCAACAACTAAAGTCTGTCTAGTGCACTAGACGCGACAAAGCGACCGTTGAAAATCATTTGAAATTTGTGTCAATACGTCATAAAT